GGACCGCGGGCGGCTAACGCTTGTCATATCGTTCGTAACTGCCTCTCCCCCCCGTCCATCACCTTTATACGACTCACTGTGTCATCTTCAAAGTAACAGTTCTTTGATCGCTTACAGTCTCAGTCGAGTAGATTCATTCGAACCTTCACTCCATCGTTTCTGCCCCATAGGCTCTCTCCTTCTGCAGTGCGTGTTGGTCTCGTAATAACTGCTCTCTCACACTTCCACCCCCCTCTACGATATTACAGTCTCTGCTTTTCACCTAAGCTAGTCAGCTAGGTATCGCTTCAGAATGGAGACTAATACTCTCCAGCATCCCTGAGAGGTTCTCACACATCTTAGCTTTCAGTCTATCATGGTTTTTTAGATTTTTTGTCTTTGGTTAGACTTTTACACGCTACCCTTCACCTCCTACCCCCCACCCCCCACCCCGGGCGGTACTACTGACTGAAGTGTCTTTAGGCCATTCCCAAAGGGGGGTGGGGGGAGGACATTCACCATGTTCTAACGTACAGTAGAATTGTAATTGTAAATGGGCTGATTCATCTAGATCTATGTCATGCTCATAACTGTGCATAAACTGCATCATGGAACTGCGGCTTTTTCTTTCCTCATCCTTACCAGAGTTGCAGACAAGGTGGTGCATGATTGGAAAGTGAGCAATGGGCAATAGGCTTAGAAGCTACTACATGTATTAAGATATCTTGAGAAAGTCAATTAGAATCTGCAGGATATCTCGTCATCGACATGTATATCAATATTTACAACTGTTTCTAGATGAAGCCGCATAAAAGCTGCAATAAAGTGAAACAATACTAACAACTCACTATGCTCACAATCTGAGATGATTTAAAGATTTTTAATTACTTCGTGCAGCACCAGGACTTGCTACACAATAGAGGGATACAACAGTTTCGATACACCCATTCTTCTTTGAGTAACCGTAGACTCTACTAGTGTAGTAGATAGGCTCGCCGAAACTTGGATCAAATTTTTAGCTTGCACCAAATTGGAGCTGCGAAGAGCAGTTTCATGCACCTTTCTTCTTGTGCGGGAAGAACGATACCTAGATTTCTCTACAGTGACAAAAATAACTTTGGTGCAAAGATTCTGCTTGCTCCCAGCAGACACTAACGCAAGCGGTGCGACGAGCATAAACCATCCTCGCCGTCTGTCTCTTCACTGGCGCAGCCAGCGGGAGACGGATCGCAAGGATGTACATGTAGTAGTAGGCCTGATGTAGATCTAGGCCTAGAGCACTGACTGGTTTAAAACAATAAGAAAAAAAAGGGGGGGGGGGGTGAAGGCCAGGGTTAGGTGGAGCGCTTGCACCAATTGCACCAATGGCGCCACGCCAGTGATCCTTACTATCGTCATTTTTCCTCTACTTCTTTTGTATGTTTGTCACTTTCTTGTGGCCCCCTATTTCCGGGGTGCCTTGATAGTCGAAGTAGACTTCGTGCTGTTGAAGCTAGAGAGGTGAGCAGAGTAAGCCTGATTTCCTATAAGGACTCTGTTGACATCCACCCCTTGGCGCTCACATGGCCTTATGCAGTTGCAAGTGCCGTAAAAACTCTACTAAAACTAAACTACCTGAAACACGATCCATCCTCCGTTGTCGGTCTTAGTGTCGCAGACGACTTCAAGGCCGTTAAGCAGGGTCACCACTGGTCGGGATTTTGACACTTTGACGTCTGCACACGTTAGTGGCTGAACAGAAAACAAGGTGAAAGAAAACTTAGCCGGTGTCTCTATTAACAAATAATTTATAGTTCAGGTTAGGAGACGAGATGCTTCCACCTAACGTTTTTCTTTTTCTTTTTTTTTTCCTTTTTTTTGGGGGGGGACAGACTGGAATAGATTATCGTAACAGAAAGATACAGGGGACTCTGTTGTTTTGCCTCCCGTATAAGTATAACGGCAATGCTTATTATAATAGGTGTACAGCTGTAAATAGATAGCATTTGTATAGCGCAAATCCTCGCTCAACAGAAAGCTCTATGCGCTTCACAATCGATATCATTATCCCAGCAGACCTGAGAGCATTCTGAAAGAACCTCAACTCCCTGGGAAGCATACAGTGCAAGCAGCCATTAATAGGCGCTAAAGCACTAACATACTGACAAGATCTTTCTCTGTCTATTGCCTGGTACCCATTCCCACCTGGGTGAAGTGAGGAAAATTCGTGTAGAGTGCCTTTCCCAAGAACACAACGTCGGGCCTGTGGCTCGAACCCCCGAACCCGCAAGCTCACGATTACGAGTCCGCTAGCCTAACAATAACAATGTCTATTATAATAGATGTACAGTTGTACAAGTGGGGAGAGGCAGCATGGCAAGATTTGAGTAAATGAAAAACCGAAAAAACGTAAATTTAATTGCATGTACCTGAGCTTTAAAACATCAAGATAACTGTTTTCTGGCCACGCTTTCCAGCTCAAAGTTAGGTCCAAAGTCTAGCTGCAAGTATATATATAGATATATATA